GTGGGGCTGAGCAGGGAGACAAGGTCAGGGAGGAAGCAAAGGGCAAGGCCACACGGAATGAAATATAAAGCCATTAAGGATTTTTTAATTTTTATTTTTCTATTTTTAAGAGCTTTGACAGCTTCACTGGCATCCTAGCTGACATAAACAAATTACATATATCTAAAGTATATAATTGGATAAGTTTTGACATATGTATACACATGGGGAACCATCACCACAATCAAGATAATAAAGACACCTGTCACCCCAAAAGTTTCTTCACGCCTCTTTGTAATCCTTTCTTTCCAGTACCCCACCCCACCCCCCGGCAACAAGTGATATGCTGTCTGTCACTGTATGGTGGTTTACTTTCCTAGAATTTTATATAAATGTGTTATGTGTATCAATTCTTCATTCCCTTTTACTGGTGAGTTGCATTCCACCACACGAATATACCACATGTCCATGTACAAGTCTATTAAGTATTCATGTGGACCATATAGTAGGTATATGCTTAACGTTTTAAAGAAATTTCCAAACTATTTTCCAAAGCGATTATACTATTTTACACTTCCCATGACAATTCCATTTCCCCTACATCCTTTTTCATTTCAGCCATTTCAGCAGTCGTGAGTGGCGTGTCACTGAGGTTTTACTTCTCGTTTTCCTAATGAGTAACGATGTCTAACCTCGTCTCATATGCACGTTTGCCATCCACGTGTCTTCTTTGGTGAGGTGTCTATTCAAACTTCTGTGTATAGTTCAATGAGGCTGACTTTTTATTATTGGGGTTTTATAGTTTTTTACATATTCTTGATGAGTCTTTCATCAGATGTGTGATTTGCAGACATCTTCTCCCAGTCTGTGGCCTGCCTTTTCATTCTCTTAACATCTTTTAAAGAACAGAAGTTTTTAATTTTGACAAAGTCCAACTTATTAATTTATTCTTTCATGGATGTGTTTGGGGGTTTTATCTAAGAAATTTTTGCCTAACCCAAGGTTAATGTGTGAGGTATGGGTTCTAAAGCCTTTTAAAAAAGAAAGAATTCTTTATTTCTTTCTTCCTTTTTTCTTTTTTTGCAAATGGATATCCAATTGTTCAAGTACCATTTGTTGAACAGACTTAAAATTTCTCCACAGAATTGCCTTCATGCCTTGGCGAAAATCAGGTGCCTGTGTATATGTGGGTGTATTTATTTCCTGACCTATATTCTGTTCCAATGACCTATTTTTCTGTCTTCATACAAACATCAAACTGTCTTGATTGCTATAGCTTTTATAGTAAGTCTTGAAATCATGTAGTGTTAGCCTACCAACTTTACTTTTCTTTTGCAAAGTTGTTTTGGCTATTCTGAGTCCTTTGCATTTCCATTTGACATTTAGAATTAGCTTGTCCATTTGTACATAATAACCTGCTGGGATATTTTTTTTTTTTTTTTTCATTTAGAGTCTGAAGTTTTTTTTTTTTTTTTTTTTTTTCCCCTTAAAAAATTTCTTACAATTTATTTTATTTTAAAAAAATTTATTGAAACATAATTGATTCTACCTATCTGTGGGGCACAGCATTGAATATCAATACCTGTGTGCAATATGTGATGTTCAAACCAGGATAATTAGTATATTCAACATTACACAATGTAACTATTCTTGTGGCCCTTTACCAGTTTCTCACTAACAACCTCCCCTTCCCACATCTGGTAGCCTCAGTTCTGTTCTCTCTTTTTGAAAGTTCAATGAATTATTGTGTTGTTGTACCTTTCTTTGTTTTTTAAATTAATTAATTTATTTTTTTTAATCTCCCACTATGAGTGAGGACATGTGGTATTTCTCTTTCTGTGCCTGGCTTACTTCACTCAACATAATTTTCTCTACGGTTATCCATGTTGCTGCGAATGGCAGAACTGGGATTTTGATTTAGACTGTACTGGATCTATAGACAATTTAGGGAGAAATGATCATAAGAATATTGAATCTCCTGACCCATGAACAAGTCACATCTTTCCACAATTATGTAGATCTTAAGACCTATATAAACCTGGTTTTTAATTATTCTTTTTCTTGCTTCATATTGATAATGTCTTCCCATCCTTCTAGGTAATATGTATTATGCTAATTTAAGGCATTTTTGACTCACGTGTGTTAACATTTCTGCTTCTGTTAAAATCTGTAATCCAATACATTGTTTTTCTTTTGAAAAGGCTGTTCACGTACCACTATTGATATTTCCTTTACACATTTTGAGGCTATTTTATTGAGTACATACAATAATAAGATTATGAACCTCTCTAATTAAATCTTTTATTATTAAATAGTGACTTTTTATAGCTTGTCAAGGCTTTTCTTCTTAAGTCAGGTTGGTATGAGAGCATTTTTTCATAGCATGTCTGCTATATCCTGTTCCTTCCTTTAATTTTCTACCTTTCCTTGTCATTCTATTTCAGGTGTGTCTCCTATAATAAACATTTATCTGGATTTTAAAAAAAATCCATTGTAATGTTGAATACACTAATTATCCTGATATGAGCATCACATATTACACACAGGCGTTGATATTCAACTCTGTACCCCACAGACATGTACAATCAATTATGTTTCAATTTTTAAAAAATCCAATCTGGTTAGTCTCACTTTTAACTGACATGTTTAACCATAAATATTTATTGTGATTACTGATATATAGACTTGATTCAATTGTCTAATTTTATGGTTTTTTGTGGCCCCATTTTCTCAATGCTTTTTTTTTTTCTTTCCAAACTTTTTTTAATTAACTTTTATAGGGGGCAATATTTTAATTCCATTTTTTCCCTTCAAATGGTCTGGAATTTATATACTACATTTCTATTGACTTAGTAGTTATTTTTGATATTTTACCAATAAATACTTAATATAGTCTTATCAAGTACCAATCTCCTAACTGACTGATGAAGTAAACATCCTAAACAATTCAAGGACCTTATATTGGACTTTACAATCACCAACACTGCCAGCGTAACACGCTACTGCTGTCTGCTATTTTACACAGTCTTTTTAAAAGACCTACAAATTACACACTCTTATGATTATCAGTAGTTGTTTACATAAGCACCTTTATAAATTTATGGACTCAGTATTCATTCTTCCATCTCAGACTTTCCTTGGGAAATCATTTTCTTGAAATACATCCTTTCAAAATTCTTTTGGCAAAGATTTGTTGGTAGTAAACTTTCTCAGTTTTTGAAAATCTTAAAATGACTTTACTTGTTCCTCATACATAAAAGATGGTTTTCCAGACACATAGTTCTAAGTTTACGATTTACTTTCACTCAGTACTTTGAAGAGGATTCCACTGTCTTCTGGTCCGATTGTTCCTACTGAGGAAGCATTCCTTTGTAGATAAGTGGTCCTTCATCTCAATTATTTTAAGATCTTCCCTTTGTCATTGGTGTGCCATAGTATACTGTCAGGTGTGGATTTCTTTTTATTTATACTACTTGATAGTCACTGTGCTTTTTGCAATTGTATCTATGGATTTATAACTTCCATCAGTTTTGGGAATTCTTATCCAACATCTCCTCAGATTTTTTTTTTATGCTCTTTTATTCTTTCCATCAAGGACTCAGTTGAATGTATCTTATATCTTCTCTGTGTCTCTTAAATGCTCTTTCAGTTTTCCATCTCCTCAAATTTTTATGCTATCTACTGGCCTATTTCTTCAGATGTATCTTCCATTTCACAAATTATCTCTTGAATAACAATATTTCTCATTTCTAACAATTATATATTTTTTCACTTTTGCCTGATAATTTTAATAGTGATTTATTGCTTGCTCACTTTATTTCTGTAAACATTTAATCCATAGTTATTTTATACTCTGTATTTTATAAGTTTAGGTCCTGACATTCTTAAGGGTAAATCTATTAGTAGTTTATGTTGATACTTCCTGATAATTAATTACCTCATTTTAGGTTTGGCAAGTTTTGATGATGTAAATTAGGCATGCTAGGTAGGATTTGCACTTGCTTCTATAGATACCTAGTGGGTTCTCAGTTGGAATCAGTTCATATAATATGGTACTTTAAAGCTATATCGCTTGCTTTGGAATGGAAAACTCAGTGGCTAGCATGCTAGCACTGGAAAGCCGTAAGAGGCAATGGTGAAGTCAATCATCTCATCTTGTTAGAAATTAGGTAAGTGTAAATCTCAGGGCAGTTCTTCTGATTAATATTATGACAAGAAGGGTAGCCAATTACAACTAAATAAAAATTAAGTCTTCAGAAACAGCATATGCAAAATTTGAAAATGTACTGTCTAAAAAATAAACTAGGGCAAATCCTTTGTATTAAAAAAATAACAGATGAAGCAACATAAAATGAAAAAGACCCTAAGAGCACTTTTTAAAAAGAGACTATTTCCTTCTGTCTGTCTGTATTTAGAGTAAATATACACATTGCTCCCTCATAAGGGCTAAATACCTTTTAAGTTTGGGAAAAAGATTAATTCTAGTTTTTTAAATTAAAAAATAAAATAATTATTATAAATGTCGATCTAAAATTCATTAGTTATGAGAGACAAAGGTTTTCTTTTTTTCTTTTTTTTCTTTTTTTATTTTTTTTTAATTTTGTCAATATACACTGTATATGATTATTATGGCCCATCACCATTTTTTTTATTTTTTTATTTTTTTATTTTTTTTTAATTTTGTCAATATACACTGTATATGATTATTATGGCCCATCACCGACACCTCCCTCCCTCCTCCCTCTCTCCCCTCCCCCCGGAAAAGATTGGAAAGGTTTTCTTTTTTTAAAAAAATCATTCCTTATTTTTCATCAGCTTTAAAAAACATAAATAAAATGGTATCTTTCTATTCATTACTAGCGATCTGAAATAGATTTAATAAACAATACGTAAAATATTTTAAGCCGACTTTTCAGTACCAAAGGCAACTAAAATTACAACTCACGACATTCACATTGGTATAGAAAAAACAAGGCATATGGTTTAATGATGAGAATTAGAAGTGATTTTGAATTGCTTACCTGCTGGCTGTTTTCACAGAACAATTTTTCTTGTGTCCTCTTTCTGCTCGGTTATCTCTCAGAAGCTGATGCTATACAAAGTGTTCAAGACAGAGTTGTAGAAACAAAAATATTTTCATTATATTATTTGGCAAGTAAAAAAATATTCTTCTCATTCAAAGGAACACTGTTAGTTCACTTGCACTACTTTTTTCCCACTGGTTTCTCTTAAAGCAAAGACTACGGTCTTT